CCCCACGAGGGGGGGCCCCCCCCGGCCCGCCTGTACGACGCGTGGGGCCTCCCGCTGCTGCACCACTTCGAAGAGGCCCTCCCCCCGGAGCTGCGGGAAGGCAAGAGGGCCCTGGCGGCGCGGGCCGCGGCGCTGCGGCGCGAGGGGGCCCACGCCTACGGCTTGTCGGAACACCTGGAGTGGGTGGTGGCGGGGGCCCTTTCTGGGGGCAAGGCGGAGGCCCTGGCGGGCCTGGAGGTGGCCCTGAAGGAGGTGCAGCCCCTCAAGCTCACGGGGGCCCCCCAGGAGGCCCCCCGGAGGCTGAGAGTCAACAAAGTGCTGCGCATGCGCTACCCCAAGGTGGAGGTGGAGGCCCAGGACTTGGCCAGCGGGAAGCTCTACTCCATGGCCATTCGGGTCTTCTCGCAGCGCGGGCTGGCGGCCTTCAAGAGCGAGCAGCAGTTCCTGCTGGAGGCGCAGCAGGCCGCGGCGCTGGAGGAGTCCGTGGCCCGCCAGGCCTGCGGGACCACTCCTGCTGCGCTGGCTGGCAGCCACAAGGGGCTGGCAGTGCCGCTGTTTGCTGCTGCTGCTGCTGCTGCTGCTGACAGCGTCTTCCTGGACGGCTTCTACGTGTTCGGGCGCGTGCTGCTGTCGGAGCGGCTGGCCGACGAAGTCAGCCTGGGGGCGCTGGTGCAGCAGCCGCTGCCGCTGGCCGCGAAGGAGTACGTGGCGCAGCGGCTGCTGCTGCTGCTGCTGAAGCTGCAGCAAGCCGGCCTCAGCCACAACGGGCTGACCTGGGAGAGCCTGCGGCTCCGCCCCGACGGCTCCTTCCTCCTCGGGGACTTGGCCTTCTGCACGCGCCTGGCCAGCCCGCTGGGCCCCTTCGCCAAGCTCCCGGGCCGCCGCGCGGAGCCCCAGCTGCTGCTCAGGAACTACCGCTACGGCGAAGAGGCCGTGCCGCAGGCCAACAGCGACTTCTGGTCTCTGGGCGTGCTGCTGTACGAGCTCTTCACCGAGGGCGGCACGCCCTACATGCCCGTGGGGCCCGGCGACGAGATGGAAGAGGCCCGCCACTTCGCAGACACTCTTTTGCGAAACAAAGTCCGGCCCCTCGTCCTCGTTCCCAAGCTCAAGGAGGCGGACGTCCCCGTCCGCTGGCGCCAGCTCATCCTCCGCTGTTTGGAGCCCATGGGAACCAACAGAATCTCTGCCGTCGCGCTCCTCACCGAGTTCTCCGATATCGTCAAACGCCGGCCCTGACGCGCCCACCAGCACCAGCAGCAGCAGCAGCAGCAGCAGCAGCAGCAGCGGCAGCGGCAGCAGCGGCGGCGGCGGCGGCGGCGGCTGCAGCGGCGGCGGCGGCTGCGGTCTGGACGCCGGCCCTTTAGAACGACTTAGATGGATATTATTGGAGGTTAAAATGGCCTCCAGCTTTTGTACTTTTGAAGTGAGCACGTTAATTGGGAGCAACAATGCAACTTGCGTTCGGCACTGCCGGAGCCCGAACTTGAATTTCCGCCAAGTCGCTTCGGGTGTCTGTACACCCGGCCCCCCAAACGCACTGGCGTCGTTTTGTGTTCCGCCAGTAAGCTGCGCAGCTGCACTTTTTCGAAACCGCAGACGGGAAAGCTGCAGCCAATTCATGATTTAGGCGACGGATTCCACTATTTTGCATGTGTTGCTGTCGGCCCAAGCTCGCCCTCGACAGGCGGGCGACAAGGGCCGACGATCTTGTAGAGTATCTGGCTTTGGATTTGCCGCTGCATTCATGATTCGGCTGATTCTGGCTAAGTCATCACGAGCTCGCAGTCTTATTTGGCTTCTTGCAATCGCCTCGGAAACAGGCGCTTGCCCTCCTGACCATGTAGACTTGTTACTGAAATAGTCGAACTTCCTTTGCATTCCGGCGGCAGTTGAGAATTTCGTAATCTTTAACGAAGTGGTTTCTCTCTCGTCTTCGTGGAAAACTGTCCTCTCAGTGCAGCGAGCTGCAGTCTTCAGCTTGCGTGCGAGCCTGTCTTTTAGAAACTCAAAAAACGCCTTCTCCATTCCGAAAAATTCGCCGGAGACGAAGTGCAAGCCCACAGAAGGCCTTCAGCGCCTTCCCTCTACCACACCATTTGCATGCGCATGCAAAGTCCGCAGCAAGAAAGCCGCATGCAAATAACTACTGAGCCAAAGCGAACACTGCGCAGTGTTCTTTAAGCCCCTTAAAATTGCCTTTTGTTTCTGTTGAGAAACTGCAGAAAAACCTGAATATCTTCTTCAGGAGAAAATCTCAAAATCCTCAAGACGCGCTGAACAGCTAATAAAAAGATAATAAAGTGTAGTCAAATATAATCAAAAGATGAAACTGCAGAGCCACACAAACTCAACTAAAAACGTCTCAGTTCCTAAATCCCGAAGTTTCTTCCTGCTGCATCTTTTCGCAAAAAAATCAACAACAGATAATTCACCTTTTTGAACGCGAGGCGTCTCGGCTGTCGCCTCATCTCCCCTCAGTTCGCGTCCATTCCGAAATATATTTTCAGTTCATTTTAATATTTTTCAACATTTATTGTCAGTTAACTTTAAGAGAGTGGCGGTAGAGGGCTACTGTTGCATCTACTGACTTCTCCATTTCCGAGGAAGCTCAAGGCTAAATAAATGATTCCTCTTTTCGTAAAGACCTAAAGCTAGAAACTACTTCAAATAATAAGCGAAGCAGTCTGCAGGAAACTTGGCTGCTGCGGCGCACTGCATGCACTGGCTTGGCATTCAAGTCTGAGTTGTTGCAACTGCGCGTTTCGCAGCCCCAAGAAGCTTCTGCATGCATCAAAGGCAGTTTCTTTTCGCTAAAAAGACGAAAAGAAACTTTTTAAATGCATGCAAGGACTTTCTGAGGGTTTGTTGCAGCGAAAGGCGCGGCCCGAGCCGCCCGCTGCAGCCGCGCACTGGCCGCGGCCAACTGAGCTCCCGGGCAAAGCAGGAAGCAGCAAACTAAGCAGCAGCAGGAAACTTTAGAGTTTTCGAATGCACTTAACTAGCGTTGGGCCGGTGGCCAACTCCCGAAGACTTGACTGTGACGCTGGCCGACGGGCGGCCCGAAGAACTCCCCGTGGCCTCTATGCGCTTCAACACTTCCATCGAGTCTTCCGTGATGGTCCCAAACACCACGTGGCGGTTGTCGAGCCACGGCGTGGCGACGGTGGTCACGAAGAACTGCGAGCTGTTCGTGTTGGGTCCTGCAGCACAAACTCGCAGAGTCGAAGCCCCGGTCTGTCTTGAAACTTTTCCGCAAGATTCAACTTTTCACTTCAACTCAAAAACTGCATCCAAATTTGCAAAAGCAACGCAGTGGCCTCTGCAATAAACTTCGTCCCGCGAAGACTAGTGCGGGTTGTCTTGGATCTTTTGTCCAACTCCTTCCGGAAGAATCTGCTAGTTTCTAAACAACTACTAAGTCCACTCTGAGCCTCCGCCTCCCCACAGGCTTCACCGCTGAGCTAACAGCAAAAAACTGCAGCAGCAAAGACTGTTTAGTGCAGCAAGTACCGGCATTTGCCATAGACAGGATTCCCGGGCCAACGTGCTTCAGCTCGAAGTTCTCGTCTTCGAAGGAATCCACGGGCTGAGTGTCCGCGTCGGGCCTGCTGTTCCTCTGGACATCTCCTCCCTGTAAATGTGAATTGAAACAAACAAAAAGAATAAATGAAAGGCTATTTTTGCTTTGTTCGCGACAAAACTGAAGTAGCAAACGCAGTGAAGCCGCGCACCTGAACCATGAAGTCCGGAATGATGCGGTGGAAGAAAGTGCCCACATATCTCGGAAGGAGCCCTGCAACCAGAATACACAAAACTCAGAAATATAACAATTTGAAAATCTCGTGAAGGCGCGTTTTTTCAAGAACTCCTACACAACACAGAGCTCTGCTGCTCTTGCAGGCCTGAGCCTTCCTCTCTGCATCAGGAACTTCTGCATGTCCAACCCGGTATATTGACGAAAGTATATACATAAAAAAGCCCTAGGGACTTGACTAGCTAATACAGAGTTTGTGTCATGTGCATGCAGAAACTGTTCACTAGTGGGCGAACACTAAAACACATTTCGCACGCACGGCGCGAGGCCGGCAAAATAAACAAACAAACGAGATATCGGTAATCGCTCGCTGCCGTACCGACGAAGTTCTGCACAGTCTTTGGAACGACGTCTGGTCTCAGGTTGAAATTCAAGAAGCCGATGGGCTCTCCGTTGATGGCAATCTCAAGGAAAGCTTCCTGCAGCCACAGCCACACCGCCCAGCTGCCTCCATCACTCGCGAAACACGAACAAACAGATATTGACAAAGCCGAAAAAACGCACCTTTACAGGATCCGCTGAGGCGTTTAGCGAGGCCGTGAGGGCCAACAGCGCTACAAGCGCGACGGGCTGCACGGCGAGACACAAACGCAAGACGGAAGAGGCTGATCAGCGTTCGCCCCAAAAGTTATGTTCATGTGCTCACAAAACAAAAAGCACGGTGTGCCAGTGTGCCAGAAATATTGAGAACTGCATCTTTGAAAGCCGCACTGCACTACAAACAAGTCTGCGCAGCGACAGCGCTGCCTTCACAGACTGCACACATTCCGGCCACAAAGAGATCTTGCCACAGCCTCATGAGGGGCAGACAGAACAGAAAAACAAGAAGAACGAAAGCAAACCAACAGAGGCTAACTGTAAAGCAGAAAAAAACTGCAGTTGGGAAAGGCATAACGTGCAGGGGGGAGTGGCAGCCACAAATGTGAGGGCTCATGTTCCAGCGCTCACGGCAGTTCTCTTCATTTTTCAAAAAAAATTCCTCGAAAAACGATTAAAAAAAAACAAGTAGAAATAAAGTTTACAGAAGTGAGACACATCGCTGCTTGCTTGTTTGTTCCCAACACATCAGAGCAGCAGCGGAGTCGGCGTACGGCAGACGACCGACGGGCTGGGCGTGCGCTGGGGTGTGCAGCAGCTGACAGCGGCTAAGCAGCAAAATACCGGCAAAACCTGAAAAGTAATCTAATTAAACGAAAGTTAATATTCCCTAGAACGCTAGCATGTACGCGCAACGTGTCAGATACTATGCAGTTGCGTGCTTTAGAGTTCTCCCAATTCCGCAAAAAATAACGGGCGGTGGCATCGTGGGGTGGCGTCGAAGCTGATCGCAGGACTTGAGCCTGATCACTATTTGTGTCTGCAGGGCAATTTAGAGAGTCAAATTATATTCAACTGATGCGAGTCAGTCGGCCATTAATGGTGATTATAACGGGAATACGACGCAGTGGTTCCTGATGGCTCCGGCGCGACCGGCAGACAGCCCCAGCCCGTTCAGTTTGAGTCGTTTTTACAGTTTTACGTTTTGAATTACGATCCTTCAGTCTTTGGTTAGTGCTTCTTCACGTTTTTCGTCCATGGTTTTTAGGCCATTAGTCACAGGTTTCGGAGCTTATTCCCACGCGGTCGCTAGCATTAAGATAGGGCAATGGAGCCGCAGCAAGCTGTCAGCCCGTACTGGTGTAGCCTAGCAACCGCATTCACTTAAATGCACTCTACACGACAAAGGGAAGCTTATGCAGCCTCGTCAGCTGGCTGAGCCGCAGGTAAGGCAGTGGCTGCGGGAGCAGTTGCGGCGTCAGCCGCAGCACGAACGACTGCAGCAAAGGCAGCAGTACAAGAAACAGCAGCAGCAACAGCAGCAGCATGCTCTTCCGCACTGGTTTTCGCCACGGAGCAGCGGTTCAAGCTGCTGGGCTACTGCTCGCTCTACTGGTGCTACTGCCGCTGCTGCCTGTTGCAGTGCTGCTGCTGACGAGGGAGCAGCGGCAGCTGAACGAGCAGCAGAACCAGCAGCAGCACCAGCAGATAGACCTGGCAGCTGCGGGTATCCGGCCGCTGGATGTTCCTATGTCTATACACCCAACCCAGAGGCAGCAGCAGCAGCAGCAAACTGGCGCGCCCGACACAGAGGCTTTGCCTGCCTTCTTGCTGGGGGCTCAGCTGCAAGAGGAACACAGGGAACTGCATCAGCCAGCAACTCATCAGCAGCAGCACTACGGCCACCCACTGTGGCAGCTGCTGACAGGAGAGCCGTCTGCAGATGCAGAAAAGCCGCAGCAGCAACAGCAGCACCTGCAGCAGCAGCAACAGCGCGACCAACAGCACAGGAATTGGCTGAACCAAAGCCGCGTAGCTGAGCAGCATTTGAATTCAACAGCAGCCTGTGCTGCATCATCTGTTGCTGCTTCTCCTGCCGTTCCAACTGCGCCTGCTGCTGCGGCATTGCCGCCAGTCCTGACACCGGAGTACCACACAGGAGTCATGCCCCTGGCACTAGCTGCCAGTCCCCCTGCTGCTGCTGCTGCTGCTGCTGCTGCGCCAGTCGTCCCAGCAGAGCCCGCACCAGCTGCCTCCCCCTCTGCTGATGCCAAAACTCTCGCGGCAGCCCCTCATACATTCGTGCATCAGCAGTTGCAGCAGCAGCAGTTGCAGCAGCAGCAGTTGCAGCAGCAGCAGTTGCAGCAGCAGCAGTTGCAGCAGCAGCAGCTGCTGCTGCAGCAACAGCAGCAGTTGCTGCAGCGGCAGCAATGGACGAGGCCCAGAAATTCGCCTCTTCCCCAGGCGACTCAACAGGCTCCTGCACATCAGATGTACCTCCATGCCGCTGCTGCTTCCCCTCTTGTTCTCTCTCCATTTACGGGACCCGCAACAGCTCCAGCACAGCCGCAGCAGCAGCAGCAACTTTACCAGCAGCACCAGCAGCCGCTGCCGTTTCTACTGCTGCCTTCTCGCACATCGGCGGGAACGGCTGCGGCCCCCGCTGCTACTCCCCATCTTCTCTTAGAGGCACAGCAGCAGGGCAACAGCAACCACATTCCTATCGGGCTGCATCAGCAGCAAGAGCTGCAGCAGCATATTAAGCAACAGGTACAACAGCTGCAACTGGAGCAGCATCTTGGCGAGAACACGGAAATTGCAACTGCTGAAGCAGCTGCACCCCAAGAATCTAATTCTTCCGAATTGGCAGCGGGAGCTACGCCGAACGCCCAGGCAATGGCGAAGGAAGTAGCAACAGCAACAACAGCAGCGACGGCAGCCACACCAGCAGCAGGGCAGCCGCAGCTGCTTGGCTTTGCAGACAGAGAAAGTCTAGAGGGAACAAGAGTGACTGCACAAGACACACAAGAACATGCAAACCAACACAGAAACAAGAGCTTTCCTGAAGACACCAGTAAGCATGGGAATGCAGAAGCTGCACCCTTAGCAGCAGAGGCGGAACCACCAGCAGCAGCCATCCGCGCAATAACCGGAGCAGCATCAACAGCAAGAGATGAAGGAAGTTCTGAGTCGGAAATTTCCCATGTGGAGGAAACTATGGATACGAGCGAAGGTGAAGGCGCAGAACAGGCAGAAGCACTCGAAGCTGCAGCTGCAGCAGGCCCTGGCCCTGCTGCTGCTGCACCTGCTGCTGCTCCACCTGCTGCTGCTGTTGCTGCTGAACGCTCTCACGATGAAGTAGAGGAGAGGGATGAGGAGGAGGAGGCTGAGGGGCCTAATGATCTGCACGCCGACAGCAGCACAGAAGAGCGGAACACTACAAAAGAGGTGGAGGAGATGAATGAGACGGAAGAAACAGATGACCAAGAAGACATGCCTGAAACTGAAACTACAACTTCAGACAAAGACAGCACTTACGCCGAAGAAACTGAAAGCACTGAAGCCACAAGTGCCTTCGAAGACAGTCTAGAGAGTGGGCAGATAACAGAAAACAACGACGTCGGCGTAGACGGGCAGGAGGCGCATGCAGAGAGTGAACTTGAAGAAGCAGGTGAAGTGCGGGAGGCAGCAGAAGCAGAAGATGAATCAATGGAGACAGATCCTGCAAGGGTGGTGGAGGAAACCGGCGAAGGTGCGGAACACGACACACAGGCAACTCACTTACAAGATGACACAGATGAGGACACAGACATACACTTTGAAGACGAGGATGACCAACAGTTAGAACACAGCAGCAACAATAACAGCAACACCAGCAGCAGCAGCAGCAGCAATAGCAAAAATAGCAGAACCAGCAACAGCGGCACCATGGAGTACGAAGAAAACCCGCAGTCGCAGCTAAAGGACGATGATGTCCCAAGCGCTATAACTGATCTGCAAGAAGAAGGTTTCCTTCGGCGCATCGACGCAGAAGCAGCTAAACCGCAACAGCACCAGCAGCAGCAGGAGCCAAGGCAGCAGGAGCCGCAGCTGCTGCAGGAACTTAGAAGGACCCAAGCAGACCCAGGATACGTCCCTGCCTCTTCTGTTGCTTCGGCTGCTACGACAGCTTCGGGCTCCTCGGACAATGCTGGCGCCGTACCTTTTACTGCTGCAGCTTCAGCCTCTTCCTTTCCCCCCACTAGCATCATGGACAGCTCCGCTGTCCTCACAGGTCAAGAGCCTGGGACGCAGTTGCTGCTGCACCCAGCTGGCGATCCCTCTTTGCTGCTACTGCAGCAGCCGTTACAGCAACATCTGCATCAGCCTCTGCAGCAACAGGTGCTACAACCGCTGCAGCAGCCCATGCAACATGTACTGCAGCAGTCACTGCATTCCCAGTCACTGCACCCGCAACCACTCCACCAACCCCTACAACAGCCACTGCAACAATCCCTACAGCAGCCACTGGGAGACGCCAGCTCGATACTGTCGCCACAGGAGCTTATCAAACAGCAGCAACTGCAATTGCAGCAGCAGCAGGCAATGGTGCAGCAGCTGCAGCAGCAGGTGGCGATGCAGCAAGACCTGCTACTGCGGGCTCAAGAGCAACAATTGCAACAGACTCAGCAACAACAGCAGCTACATCAACAGCAGCTCCTCCACCAAATGCAGCTAGCCCATGTGAGCGAAAAGCAGCAAGTGCAAGGTGCGCTGCTGCAGCACCATCTGCAGCAGTTGCAGCAACAGCAGCTGCATCAACAGCAGCTCCAGCAGTTGCAGCAGCAACAAAAGCTACAACAACCGCAAACACAGCTGCTTTAAGCACAGCAGCAATTATAATTTCTTGTGTTCCTCATGCAGTCGAAACAGCAGCAAAGGTTGTTGCTATTGTAAAAAAGGCAGCAGCAGCGACATTAGCCTTTGGGGTTGTTGTTGCAGCTCAAGCAGCTACACACAGCAATTAGCGAGCAGTTTCCAGCAGGGTACAATGGGCGAGTGATACACAGCAGCACCTCCAGCCGCACCAGAAGCAGCGAAGCTGCAATAGCAGCAATACAACGAGAGAAAGAAACGTCCAAAACATGAATCATGGGACTGGCAAGCAATTTTTTGCCAGGGTAGATTGCAACAGATCTGTAGAGAAGTTAACTGCGGTGCCAGGAATGCTAAAGGGTGCCCGCTGTTGCAATAATCATTGCAGCAGCCCCGCAGCAAAGACAACAGCAGCAGCAACTTATGCCCTACGAATTTAATAGCTAGCCGTGGTTATGTAGTAGATGTACACTGCGTGGACAAGCTCTACGCCTCGGTTGTGTAATCTCACTTCTGTACTGCTCCGTTGGGCGTTACTACAGTATTTGACAGTGTTCAACTACGTGCATAGCTAATGGACCGAACGAGTAAGTGGCACAAACGTCCGGTATAATTGATAACGCTGAGGGGAGAAGTTGCAACGATCAGGCCCCCAGCTCTAAAGCATCTGTTGCTTTGTCCAGCATATTCTGTTGCTGCCGCTTGCAGCACACACCAGGCTCTGTCTTGTGAAGAACATATTTGGCCGAGTGACAGAGCCTTTTTGGGTACGGCCCCTAACGGTGCAGTTTCGTATTAGAGGGCCCTTGAGGTGCCCCATATGCGCACAGTTAGCTCTGAAGTCTACAGTAATGAGCAACAGGGCGCTGTTGGGTTTTATAAGAATAGGGAACCCCTGCCAAATCCCACTAGATCAGGGTCAAACATAATTCATGAGGAGAATGAACCTCTAAGGGGACTCTGCGCGGTGCGAGACCTGCCTGCAGTGGTCCTTAAGGGTAGCTTCTGCACTTTTAGTTTGCACATTTCGTCTCCAGATGCTTCTGAAGTTGCACCTCTTCCGTGCGGTAGCCAACTTGCCGGCAATCACCAAACTAAATCTCCCGCTGCTTCTGTTGCTGCTGCACCTACTGCTCCTGCAGCTGTTGCTGCCTCCAATGTCTACTGCCGCGTCTTTGGGAAGCTGTTGCTGCAGCAGTACTAAGCGACGGTGTGCATCCAGCAAATCCCCGGGCTTGTATGCCCATGTAGCCATCACTGCACACACGGCGGATCCCAGGAGCTCAAGGAAGGTGAAGACGTACACTCTCTGTGCTGCAGCTGTTGCTGCTGCAGTTGCTGCTGCGGCATCGCCGTCAGCGGCTACAGCAATGCGAGATTTGGGTTGGAATGCCTCCGCGGCAAGTTCTAGCAGCTGAATGAAAAGAACGAGGGCCTTCAAGCAAGTAAACTTCCAGCCTGAGGTATACAGACAGCTCACCACATTTGGAAGATTCTATACGGTGCATGCCTCTAAATTTTGGAGCAGCAGCAGTACCAGTGCCCGCGGCTGCAGCTGTAGTAGCATCATGCCAGTGGAGCCAAAAACACTGATAGAAGGGCTGAAAAACGCCCGGAGAGTTTGGACTCAATACTGCAGATCATTGGCCCTGGCTTCTGACGCTACACCTTAGACCGAGAGCAGGTTTCAGTCTGACCGATGTTGAAAGGCTTCAGGAGAGGTCTTGTGGCGACAAACACCACTGCAAGGCCCCACATAGCGAGTACGAGAGAAAAGAAGCAGCAGAGCTGCAGCAATCGCTGCAGTAGATGCTGCTGCCCATTCTCTCCAAGAGCCGAAGCAGCAGTGTCCGCAGCGCCGCCACCAACAGCGCCTGCTTCCCCCGGCGTCTTAGCTCTCTCGTTTCCAAGGTGCATCAGTGTTGGCAGTAAATAACACAGCAACACTCGCAGCAACTTCAGCACGGTGAAGGGCAGCAAGCAACGGTAACTCATGCGCAGGTCCCACTGACGCATACGCACACGCAAGCTCTAGGCCTTAGCTGCTGACTGGGAAGGGCATTTAAACTAGCTTCAACAGAGACACCATCAGCTAAAGCGGTAGTCGCAGCTGAAGCAGCACTTGCAGGAGCACTAGCAGTAATGGAGCCGCTTGTCAACTCCTGTTAGTAGGAGCCATAGAACAAGCACTACGTTGCGAAAAAATAATGCAGAAATTACACATATTTGCGGCGGCCCGAGCAGCGGTGATAGCACAGAATTTATTGATGATGGCGTGCAGTGGCATCAATTGTAACAGAAACAGCACCAGCAACAGCGGCGGCAAGCAGCTGCAGTGGTCTCACCGCTGAGAATGGCCTGGGCTTTGTATTCCAGGCGAAGCAGCAGAGAGGCGGCACAAACCAAACCTTTCTGTGGTTTTCTTCTGCAGCATGGCATTCCATTCCTTCTAGGACTACACCATCAGCACCACTTCTAGCGCCAGGAGGAAGTAGCTGCGGATCTAGGCGCTGCACTTCCACTGAAACAATGTCTGTCTTCCTTTGTTTTTGCGCCAACAGTACAGCGGGCGAGGAGCCCTGATTGGTCAGAGTGGTGCTACAGGTGCTGCCAGGTATTGCTGCCCCAGGACCTCCTTCAGCAATACTGGGCAGCTGCTGCTGTCGCTGTTGCTGTGACTGTTCTGACTGCTGCTGCTGTTTTTGTTCATGTTGAGCCTCCTGATTTTGTTCAGCCTCACAAGCTGCTGTAACACATACAAAAGAGGTGTTTACGAGGCATCCTTTGCTGTTGATGGCACTTTGTGCACCGAAAGGTGAAACAGCAAGACCCGAACTATTGCCTGCAACGCTTCTATTCTTGGCTTCTGCACTTTCATTACACTGCTGCCGCTTCTCTTGTTGCTGCTGCCGATGGCCCTTAGGCAAGGGGTCACTACAGCCTTCGGCAATAGCGGCACAGAGGGGAGAAGCAGCGGCAATAGTGGGTGCAGCACCAGGTAGCAGAAGTGGATCTCCCTCTAGAGGTGACCGTTCGGTTTCTCGACTAGGCGGAGCAGCAGCGCCAGCAGCAGTAGGTATGCTGCGGGTTGTGCTGCTGCGATGGCTTGTAGACGCTCCAAGCCGTGCGCGGTGCCTGTGCAGCTTGTCTTTGCAGCGATGCCAAATTGACAACTTCGCCTGAGGACCGGAAGGGCCGCTGCATGTACTGCTTTTGCTGCTGTCGTTGCTGCTGTTACCGTCATGGTTCCTGCTCTTGCACAAATCTCGTGCAGAGCGATCTTCACGATTGCAGCAGCAACGCTCTATTGGTTGGCCGCAGCCTAGGTTGCACTTGGTGCTGGTGAAACAGCTGGCTTTCCTAGCCTTCTTCCACCTACTGCGCCTTCGAGGAGCAGAAGAGGCTGCAGAAACGCAGCAGGAGCCACTGGCTGCCTCCGGAAGCTCTACCTGTCCTTCGGCAATCCTTCCCATCACGTGAGCAGCAGCGCCGTCAGCCGCTGCTGCAGACGCAGATGCTGCTGACTTGGCTTCCTCTGCTGCTGGACGGCCTTCCTGACTTGGTTCTTTAGTGGCTGCTGTTGCCTCAAGTGGCTTCGTTGTCGCTGCTTCTGCTGCTGCTTCAGCTTGCGCTCCAGCGGCTACTGAGGAGGAAGAAAGCTTGTTGCGGGGAGCCGCTGCACTTTGCTCTAGAGTGAGTGCTGCTACGGCTGGTGCGGGTGCTACTGTTGTCGTCAATGCTGTTGTTGATGCTGCTGCTGCTGGCGGCGGGAGAGTGGTGGCAGCTAGACTGTGGCTGCCTTCGTTTGCTGCATTGAGTTCACATGTGTTTTGCCCTTTGTTGCGGCCCTGCTCACCGCTGCTACTGCTGCTGCTATTGTTCTTTCTACTGCTGCTACTGTTGCATGAGTGGCCAAAGTGCTTGGCAATAGTTGGCAAGGCCTCCAACTTCACTATTCCCTCCTTTATGTGCTGTTTCTCCTTCTGCTCCTGCTGCAGTGTAGGAGCTGAATCTTCCTTGTCTGAAATGGGCTTGCTCTGGTGGCTTTCCATGTTGCCATATCCCTTCGTATCCTCAAGAGCTTTGCCGATGCTTTCAGGGGATGGTAGCGCGTGCTGCTGCTGTAGCAGAAGCAACGTGGTCTCTGGGCCACCCATCAGGTGTAGCATCAGCAGCATGAAACAATGCAAGCAGCAAACTTCCCAGGCCGAACGCAATTGAGACAATAACAACCCTCCGCGCGGCTCGAGAAGGGAAAGCCTGAAGGGAGAATTATCACAGCGGCAGCGCCAGACAGCAACAGCAACGGGCAGTTGTTAGGAATGGTACACCCCGCAGCAGTGAGCAACTCAGTGTGGTAATGTGCGCAAGGCAATATCGTTGAAAGCTATTGAGACACCACTGCAACCATTGCAGGGCTACAACTCTGCGGCACCATATTATACCTTATGCTCCTAGTGTTTTAGCTGCGTCTGCTTCTACAGCTACTGCTATTTTTGATGCTGCTGGTGGAATGCTTCACCAAGCGACCGCCCCAGAGAGAGGGAAGAAAGAATAGACGAGGCTCATGTGGAGAGCAGCAGGTGGACTGAAACAGCGTCGCTGCAGAAGCCTCAGCTCAGCAGCTACTGAGGAGAATCGCCGCTGGTGCAGTACCCAGAGCAGCAGTAGCAAGATGCAAATCACCGTCGATGAGACCCTGCAGCAAAAGCAACTCCCGGAAGACTAAAACGCATAAGTCAATAGGCTGTGTGGCTCTTTTGCTGGTACATAAGTAAATATATCACTGCAATATTAGGAACGCTTATGTTTAAATTCACGCCCGTGGCCTAGTTGGTTTGCGCATTTTTTGTATGCATATGTGCTCTTCTGTATTCTATCTGTTTTGCACCGTGCATAAAGCATGCTTCCATGAATCTCTTCCCAGCTTGTGAAGCATACAGGTAGCTGAATGTAAATGTGTCTCTTCGTGTTAACTATTTGCGAGCAGCAGCTTGTTTTGAAGGCGC